AAGTTTTAAAAGGAATAGGGGACCGGAGAGCTTTGGGAAATTTGTTATATTGCTATAAGTTTTGAAAAACAAGTATATAATTAAATAATATACTCATGGGAAACAAGTGAAACGGAATTAAATCCTTATTAGGAAAATCACACAGTAGCGACTTCTGTGATTACTGTATATGGTTTTCTCATTCCCAGCCCACTCCTCCACACACATCTGCCACATTGGGATAATATCACAGACTTTCCTTTTATGGATCCTTTGTTAATATGACTGAGATGATGTGCTGTGAAGATTAAGCACCAAATTAAATGTTATAAAGGAGATCCAGAATTGGCTATACCACATTTTTTTAAAAAAATCCTAAAAGTAACTGGGTTGTGTATGTGTACATATATGAGAGGTGTTTGATTAGGGCTGTACCAATAGAAGAGAATACATATAGCTCAGGGTTGAACTGTGGAGTCCTTGGGGTCCTCTGAGCTTGGTTGTTTCCTTGCAGATGTTTTGTTACCCAGCTAGGTAACATCTTCAGTACTAGAAGCAAGTGAGGTTTGCTCTCTGTTTATCTAGGGCTTATTAGAACTGTGCCATGGGAGAAAAGAAATTTAATCTTTCTCAATTCCCTGCTTACCATCAGACTCAGACAGACATATACATACAGTGGGGCAAAAAAGTATTTAGTCAGCCACCAATTGTGCAAGTTCTCAAGTAACAAAGGCTACCATCACTTATTTTCCACCATGATTTGCAAATAAATTCTTTAAAAATCTTATTTTCCACCATGATTTGCAAATAAATTCTTTAAAAATCTTATTTTCCACCATGATTTGCAAATAAATTCTTTAAAAATCTTATTTTCCACCATGATTTGCAAATAAATTCTTTAAAAATCTTATTTTCCACCATGATTTGCAAATAAATTCTTTAAAAATCTTATTTTCCACCATGATTTGCAAATAAATTCTTTAAAAATCTTATTTTCCACCATGATTTGCAAATAAATTCTTTAAAAATCTTATTTTCCACCATGATTTGCAAATAAATTCTTTAAAAATCTTATTTTCCACCATGATTTGCAAATAAATTCTTTAAAAATCTTATTTTCCACCATGATTTGCAAATAAATTCTTTAAAAATCTTATTTTCCACCATGATTTGCAAATAAATTCTTTAAAAATCTTATTTTCCACCATGATTTGCAAATAAATTCTTTAAAAATCTTATTTTCCACCATGATTTGCAAATAAATTCTTTAAAAATTGATGAAAATTATAGGCCTCTCTCATCTTTTTAAGTGGGAGAACTTGCACAATTGGTGGCTGACTAAATACTTTTTTGCCCCACTGTATATCACCAGAGCAGTGGTACACCCATAGAGGTATTTACTTGCTAGCATCATGTGAAACAAGGATTTTTAAGACATGGTTTGTTGAATGAGCCATAATGGGCTTATTCACATATAACACTAAGCCTTAATGTATGGATCCATGAATCATATTAAGCCATAAACCAACCAGCCAAATCGTCTCGTGTCAGAAATGCAGGAACTGGAAAGGAGATAATTATTAATCTAAATTTTTTAAAATTAAAAACTTTAATAAAAATATAGATTTATATCATTCTTGCCCAATGCCGGGCCATGTTGATGGCAAAGGTATTTCCAACCAGCAAGTCATTCTGTGTGCATGTCGGTCCCAAGGAGCACTGCAAAAGATGGATAATTGTTTGAATAGTGCCATATTCACAATAAATATCCTTGTCCTTAAGAAGAAACCCCCATTTTTCCATTTGATCTTTAGTTCTACCCAAACCAGTGCACAGTCTATTTAAACATCTCCACACCATCCACTCCTCCTCCAAACCTCCAGGCAACTCTTCAAGCACTTCTATCCAATTGTAAAGATATTTTGCTTGGGATTTCCATCTTTTTGATCATTCTGTTTGAGGTGTGGTAGCAATCTCCTTGGCGCAATCTAAAAAGCTCCTCCTTGATTTCCATCTTTTTGTGGGAGGTACTTGGCCAAACAATGGGTGTGCCGGATCATGTAACACCTTTCCATATACCATGTCTTGTGCCACACTCCTTCTAACACCTAGTGGGGTGTTAGAAACCAAATTACGGCTTGACATTATGTGTGAACCAAGTCACAGTGTTTGGAATTGCTGTATAAAGTAGGGGAAAATGGCTCATTCAACCACTCAAGTCAACAAAAATGGATATTTTAACATACATGTTGCAAAGAAAGAGAAATGGCTTATTATATAACAACTGACCTTGAATGTGGAAGAGCATACTAGTTCTAACTGTCTTCATATATAGGCAATCCATCTATATCAAATCCAGAGAAGAAGGCTTCTCTATAGAAATGGCATGTCATGGTTATGGGAAATTATGACTGAAAAGTAAGATGTTGGTCAAAATGAGGGTCTCAGGAGAATAAATAGACGTAGAGTTGGCATAGGCAACCAGTGGACCCCAGTGCCCTTTCTAAGCCTCAAATGCATCACTGCAATGGGTAATTGCATGATTTTCAAAACTTTTTTGGTGGTTGGGGCAGGTTTGAAATTCTTGCAGAAACTTAAGGCACATATTTCATTCCTTAAACCCTCAACATCTCTCCAAAAACCAGGATGACTTTTTCCATTCGGGGGCAGTGATTTAGGGCTGAAATGAGTACCTTAAGCTGCTGCGAGGGTTAAGATACCCATTTTGCTCCTTAACATCTCCTCAAAAGGCTTTTAAACATTGCTCAAAAATGAAATCATAACACCACTGGCCATACCTGGCAGCCTTTGGAGGCAAAAACTTAAAAAAAAGAAATAAAAGAAATTATATCTCTTGGTCATTAAAAAGCTGTATATCTCTGTAAGAAAAGGGAACATCACAGGTTATAATTACCTTGTCCATAGTTGCTATTCCTTGCTGGTCTCATATATTCGGGAAAAGAGAGTGGGCACGCATCATACCACTCTTAGATCTCCCAACTTCTGGCTACCCTTTCAAAATTGGATGATGGTTCAAGTGTTCGGGGCACTATTACTGGGTCATATTAACTAGTGATTATGCTGGCCACTTAGTTGCAAAAGTTGGATTTAAATGGAATATTTTCAAATGGGTCTTTCTTCAAAACTCGAATGCACATTATAATATAACCTAAAGCAGAAGGGAGTGGTGGCAAGAGAGAGGAACTAACTAAAAAGTTACTCTCAAAATTAAGCATGTGACTAACATGTTTTTACTTGAGTCAGGCACCTTTGTAGCACCAATAACTCATATAGAGAAAACCTTAGCCTTCTCAGGAGGTTGTCTGAACAAACAAGGATTTAAAGCAGCATAGGATGACAGAGCCAAGCTTGCTTTTGAGACTCTGCTATATTAAAACTCTCAATATGAGACTCTGCTATATTAAAACTCTCAATTTGAGCCTCTGCTATATTAAGCAACAAGATGAAGATGAAAATTAAGAATGTGCAGAATGTTCCTCCTGTTCCTGGACCAAGATAAAGCAAGCTCGTTGCTTATGAATTTGAACGCAAATAGAAATCTTCAGATCTTCTTGATCAATGCAGCAAAGGCTCAAACTGATGGGATGGAGCATCAATAGGGGGAAAGAAAGCAGGATGCTCACAGATGATTGCATCATTACATAGACAACCAGGTTTTGGTCTCAATTGATGTCTTACAGACAGTAAAGCTTTTTCTCTAGGAATATAAGGCAACTCAGATCTCCAGAAAAATCAAGCAAGAAGGTGATTCAAAATTAAGAAAAGGAGAACTCTGGGCATGTAAACATGGGCTAGGAATCAGAATAGAGCAGGAATGGTGTTAGGAAAGGGGCTGAAAGTCAGTACTGGAATCCAGGGGAGCTCCAGGTTGATTTAGGAGCTATGTGGAAAGGAATCTATTTATGCAAAATCCCAAATAAGAAAATTATTTGGATGCACAAATTTAAGATGGATGCACAGATGGGATGCATTTACAGAAGCATAGAGTCCAGATCATGGGCAATAATTGTTCTACTTTACTCTGCCCATTTGGAGGAGTTTGCCTGGTTTTGGACACAAGTAAAAAAAAAAAAAGTTGACAAATTGGAACAAGTTCATAGGAGGGCTACCAAGATGGTGACGTGTCTGGAAACCTACCCCTATGAGGAACAGCTAAAGGAACTGGACATGTTTAGCCTACAGAAGAGACAACTGAATGGAAATATAATAGCTTATCTTCATATATCTGAAGGGCTGCCAGACAGAAGAAGGGGTAGACTTAATCTATATTGTCCCAAAGGGTAGAACCATGACCCTTGGGTTAAAACTATAAGGAAGGAGGTTCAACTAGACCTCAGGAAGAAAGAAAGTTCTAAGTGTATGAGCTATCAGATAGTGGAACAGGATACCACAAGGAGTAATGAGTTCTCTTTTGTTGTAGGTCTTCAAATAGAAGCTGGATGGTCATCTGTCAGAGGTGATTTAGTGGATCTCTCACTGAGCAGGGGTCATGTTCAACACCATGATTCTAACAACGGTTATATTTAAAAAAAAAAAGGAGAGGAGAGGAGAGGAGAGGAGAAGAGAAGAGAAGAGAGGAGAAGGGAAGGGAAGGGAAGAGAGGAGAAGAGAAGTCAGCTCTTCAAGGAAGAAGGAAACCAAAGTCACATAGGCCAATACATTTCTGCCCCAGACTCAGCCTTCTTTTATCTGATTGTTGTCTCGGTAGTGGTTCTTTCTCCTGTCTCTCAAGGCCATTCCTTCTTTCCTCTACAAGTGGATAGGAGAGGAAAGAAGCAAGGGTACTCTAATTTTAGTTTGGGAAATAAAAGAAAATTAAGTATCACCAACTTGGACATTGCAAAGTCATATATGGAAGGATAGAAAAGAAAAGGTAGTGTGAGGCCTACTTGGGTGGTGATGTGCTCACCTGATCTCTCATGATCTGGAGGCAGCTTGCTTCAGAACAGAATGCTATTCCCCATCAACGCTACAGAAATCTGAACTGAGTGATACTGCTGTTCATCTTTGCACCTCTAAATCCTTTTCCTCTAGGTTCAGATGCTTGGATTCTTCCTGATTTTTTGGGGCGACCAAAGAAAACTCTTTCTAGATGGAGATGTCAATCTTCTTCACCAACTTTACTCCCCCTAAATGCCTTCCAGATATGTGGACTTCATTTCCCAGAACTCTCCTGCCAGCATGGCCACCACTGAGATTTCTGAGAGTCCACCAGCTGGAGGGTGCCCAAGTTGGAAATGTTTTACAATATATAACCAATGAAGGCAAAATGAGCAAAATGGGAGCAGGAGCATAGGAGCTAAATACCCCTCTCCCCCAACTTCTACACCTTGGAATCTGCTTTCATCCTCTAATTTTTCTCCCTGGATCTGCTAGAAATGCTGCTTTTCAAAAGAAAGAAAATCTCAGTAAAGCTGAAGATGCATGTGGCTGGTAATGGTGGGAAGAATCCTAAACTTGTGGAGTTGGCAGTGTATACAATTCTTACCCAATGAGATCATTTATTTGTAGATCATTTTTCCACATGAAACTTCAGCAGAAACACCAGGGATAAAGAAGGTGGTGGTAGTAAAGGGAAGTCTTCACTCATTTCTGATGGGAAAATAAACAGTCACATGTTAAAGTCCTTTCTCCTTCAGCTAGGAGACAAGAATCCCAAAGTGTCTTGCAAATACAGACCAATTAATAATAAACTGAACCTGTCACATTATAAACCCCAGTTGCGTAGTTCACACACTGCTTGGAAGATGTTGTCAACATATTAGTAATTGTGTTTTAGAGCTTGAACAACTAAAGTAGACGGAGGAAAAAAAAGCTACAAAAAGGTCATGTCACCCAGAATATTAAAAACAATGCCAATTCTTATGAGGAGACAAAGATCTCCTCTTGTATTTTAATCGATCTGTTGCAACTGTTCCCAACCTGGTGCTCTTCTGATGTGCTGATCTACAATGACTCCTGACTCCATCAATCAATTCAATTTCATGCATATAGTTTCTTTTTGGAAAAAAACAAATAGATGATTTGGAAGAGTTTGGCCTTAAAGTCTTTGGGATCTTTTTTAGATGCTTCTACTTTATGGAGCAAATCTCCGATGTTCCAGCACAATGGTGCTGTTGTTAAATAATTAAACACAATTTAATTCATGATTAATTTAATGCTTCATTTTAATTATTATTCTAGTTTTGTTTATTTTTGTCGTATTTTATTTATTTATGTTGTTTATTTTTTATTGTCTTACCAGCAAAAACAAAAAGAAGAAGTTTTGCCACATGAGTAATAAGCTGATTACACATTTTCAATAAACAAGTCAAACAAACAAGCATCCGTTTCTTCCAATCAAGGACACATAACCATTTTAACCTGACTGGTATATAATACATTGATGTGTAATTTCAGAGAAAAAGTTTGCTATCATTTATTAAAATGCTTTTCAGGAGGTGAGAGCACAGAAAGTCTGCTCTTTGGCCTCTCAAAGGCATTTTGCTCATTTGTTGGCTAACTCTATCTTCCTTCTCCCCCTACCTTGTATATGAAGACTGTGTTTCTCAGTGATTAAGGATCTAATTGATCATAGGACAAACTGGGTGGTATCTACAGGGTAAATGAGAAAGCAGAGCTGGAGGGGAAAGAATGAGGTGCTAGCCCTTCACCTATGCTTTCTGACACAGTGTTTGGCTTGTGAATATTGCACACTACAGCAAACATTGATTTGAACGCTGTGGATTCTGACTAGTAATTAGCAGCAGTGCTCCATCTCTAACCCCCCCCCCCAATTGTTGTACCTTGTGGTCAACTCATCCGTGCCTTGGAGAGATGCTTCATGCTGTGAGAGCTCCTGTTGTGATGAGTTGATGTATGAGCAGTGTAACAGGGAGGTATTAAAATGTGCCAGCCGTCACTGCCTACAGACAGCACCAGAATTGCTGACATATTAGGTTAAATGTTCCAAATATCTACGCACACATTCCATTTGCATGAGCATTCTTCTAAGGGAGGGAACATGAGATCATCTCTCCTTGAGTTCTAACAAATCTGTTTGCAGCAGTCTCTGAAATGAGAAACAAAATGGCACAAACTAAGATAACCAGATTCCCAAAGTAAAAACCAAGACACACTAATTTGTATAAATTTAACTATTTTATTAATGTTAAAGATTAATCTACAAAAACAATTATGCTGCATTGAATTAGGGACGTCAAGATGGGCTGGTGGTGTATACTGTCTCATGATATTCTTGGTTTTCTGGAATCAGAGAAGATTGGACTGCCAACTTTGTCCAAATTCTATGAGAAGAATTGGTAGTCCTGCCGAGAAAAATTGGAAGAGTGTTCATAGAATTTTAGGGTCCAGTCCTGTGATCTCTGTATGTGTGAGGCAAATATCCTTACACCCCTACCTAGCAGGAAGTTATTACTGCAATGATATATTGCTTCCCTATAGCTTAAACCTAGTCTAATCCAGATTTTATATGTTTAAAATCAAGCAATCATTCAGAATTTGTAGGGCAAATAGGTTGGCCGTCCCCAAACTGGCATCGCCTCTGTGTGTCAGATGACTATTCTCATCTTCCCTGTCCAAGATGGGCCCCATATTGCAATGATGTATTACTTTCTTACAACTGAAGTTCAACCATCAATTACAAAATATAGATTCTATGTGAATAAAACAAATCATTAAAATAATAACCTTGCAATTTCTCAATAGCAATTAGCAGTAATTTACCTTCATGGAGTAAGGGGAATGGAGGTGCTCTTTTTCAGTTGCTATTCTGGCCATGTAGAATACCCCTTCTTTAAATTAAGACTAGTTCCTTCTCTTCTCTTGTTCCAGAAGCTATTGGAGACAGAAGTTTTCTCAAGATGGTTTGGTTGAATAGTTTGTTATCACAATCTTTTATTTTATTTTAATTGCTTATATTGATTTAAATTGTTGATTTTATGTTCTTTGGTTTTGTTATGATTTCTAAATTTATTTTTCATTATCATAGCATTGTAATGCATCCTTGTATTTTTGTAACATCAATTATTGGTCATTTTAATTTATTTATATTTACTGTGGAGTTTGAACTTTCTCTTTGATTTTTAATCATTTTGTAGGCCACTGTGAATTGCACTGATTTGGTGGGATATAAGTAGAATAAGTAATCATGAACATCATCTGAAGTCCACCTTTCCAAGCACCAAGCAGACTTTCCCAAAAACGACCTTCAAAGTTCAAATTAGCCTTGTTTCGAAGACTTACAAGTGGACAGGTGTAATAGTATGTGGGGATGACCTTGGGAGACAGGAGGAAGAGCCTCAGCCTAGACAACAGTCTGATAAATGTAATTTGAGTCTGAAGGAGGAGGAGTGGCAAAAGCTTCTCAGAAGGGACCCTCCCTAGTTTTTGGGAGAGTAAAAGTGAGGGACGGGAGGGGTACTTTCAGACTTGCAAGATTCTGTTAATGTAACCTTACAATAAAGATAAAGCTTGGTAGTCCTGGTTTTGCTTCTTGTCTGGACTACCTCACAAGGTCAACATCAATCTTGCAAATCTGAAAGTACCCATCCCTTTGCTGGTGGGCTTAGCCAGCCTGGCAAGCCAGATGTTGGACTGGATGAGAAGTTGGCCTGATCTGGTAAGACTCTTTTTAGGTTTAACCCAAATGGTTGAGGAGAAACACTCCATCCTCTTGATAGCACTGATAAACATTTATTTAAGAAAAATAATCAGCTGATTGTGGAAAACTGAGATTAGGTTAGACAAATAATATACGATTCTATCATCATCATCACCACCATCACCACCATCATCTTACTGTTGATGTTGCTGCTGTTGTTTTTACTATTATCACTATTATTTAAATTTATATCCTCCAGGAGTTCAGGGTAGCTTACATGAGAATTGCCTTTCATTTTATTTCCACTACAGAATTCCTATGAAGTAGGTTGGGCTGAGAGAATGACTGGCCATGGACTGGAATCTGGGTCTCCCGGTCCAGATGAACCTTTACCCACTACACTACACTGTCATCACCATCACCATCACCATCACCTTCTTCAGAAGTCTAGAGCAATGTAGCCATCAGTCAATTAATCAGTGAATAAAAGCAATAACCAATAAACTTTAACTCCCATAAAAAGCAATAAAACAATGGGAATAAACGTCTTTAAAACAATTCAGTGAAAAGCAGGTCTAAAAGACAGCCTAGAAGGAAAAACAGTTCTGGGGCAATTCCAACCATCTCTATCGTTGCTTTGTTACCGACCCAGCAACTCTTTTTGCCACCCAGTTCTTAGTTCAATCAGTCAGGTTTTCTTTTCTTTCTAAGCTGTTCCCAATTTTGCAACCAGAAATAAATGAGAAAATGCACAAGCGGACCCACCTACTCCCTGGAGTACTTATCAAATGTAGCATCTGGTCTTTTTATGATCACAGGACAGCATTTTTATTTGTGTCTGTAAGTAAATAGCAGATGAGACAACACACAGTGTAATAAATCAGGAATATGAACACTCAACAAGGGTGTGCTCTTTGCCCTTTCCATATTTATATAAAAACATCACACAGAACCAGATCATAGTAGAAACTGCTTTATTGTATAAAATACAATATTTTGTATTTGTTAATATTTTGATAACAGCAGGCTCTGATGAATGTTCATTGTGATAAGGGTTACTGATTCTCATTGTTTTATCCCCAACTTTTGCCATTTTTATAAAATAACATAGCTCGTTGATTGATCTACTCCATATTTTCCTTTCATACAAATAGGTTGAATTTTGTCATCATTTATAATTCCACGCAAGTTGAATTCTGTGCATGATGTCCATGGCACAGAATCTGGAATTCCAGATCACTCTACTTTCATTTTTTTAAAAAATATAGTCCTCATAGTAGTGAAAATGTATTTGAAGATATTCAAGCTGCTCTAACAAAAGGTTCTACTTTTAAAAAGACAACTATAACATCATCTTGGCCTTCAGTCAAGGGATTTACAACTCAAAGAGGTCTTTTAACAGCTGTGCAACTGGCCAAAATCAACATTTTCCTGGCATGAAAATCAAGCTTTTCCAGGCACAGAGATGCAGTAATGAGGGTTTCATGGGTCTAATTACTTCTATGATATTTATATTATTTATCTATATTCCCCCGTCTTACAAATCATGTCAGTAGAGTTGCAGCTATTCTGCTCTATGCTGTCAACTCTATTTGTATTGAGAAATAGGGACTGACAAATGTTCTCTAGAGATCTTTATTGGAACTTCTCAATCGTATAACATGTATTGATCCAGTATTCCACCAAATGCACTCACTTCCACTTCTCATGAAGCTACATTAGCCTCAGCATAGTGCAATCATATCCCCTTCCTCATTCCATTTAAAATCTTCCATGGTGCAGAATTGGGACACGTCGGGCAACATTTGCCAGGACTGAATCTGTCCCTCTGGTCCAGTCATCTAAAAAGGGCCTCTTCAAATTTTGTGAGATTTATGGATAATGGGCAATAGGAGTTTTCAAACTTTTTCAGGCTGCGGAACCTATCAGTAAAAAAAAAAATAAAAAAAAATCCCAGAACAAGGCAAAAGTCTAGCGATAGAAAACTGGTTGTGTTCGAGTGAACCCCATCAAGTTCTTGAGGAACCCTAAGGGTTCCACAAACATAGTTTGAAAAAGACTAGGTTAGATGATAGGCCTTCTCTGTGGCAGCAAAGCTGCATTGTTTCATTGGCCTCTAGTGGTCATCCTCTACATTTAGTTATTGGTTTTTAATGATTATTTATTTTTAGCTTGTGTATTACTGTACCTGCTCAGAATCTTCAAGATTGGGGCAGATTATAAGCATTGAAAATAAACTAAATAATTGAATTCCACTATTATTCTCCTCTTGTGAAAAATTCCACCCCTTCAACATTTTCAGCCCTCAGCTGACTCTTCTTTCTCCTCTTCATCTTCAATGTCCCTGGCCCAGTTAAAATATATAGTTAATATATTTTATTAATATATAATATATATATAGCATAGCTAAAGCAATGCTACCATTCTCTACTTGCTGTGATGGGGACAAGGCATAACACAAAGCTCTGAGTTGTTCCTGAAACAAAAACTTCAATCAATAGGTGTTGTAGAGGCAAAAAGTAGAAGGCGCCAAGATAATATGCACCATAAAAACGCAAACAGAAAATAGACTGAAAATTAGCTAGAATCAGCTCAGGGAAGCAACACTAATCCAGTGCATAGGAAGAGTTCCTAAGACCATATTTGTTCAGGCTCCATGGAGTCCACACCATCCTTCCCCAACTTAATGCTCTTCAGGCCCTATGTTGGTTTACATTTCTTATTATTCCCCATCACCATAGCGGTGGAAGGGGTTAGTGGGAATTGGAGTCCAACACAGATAGCGGGAAGTAGGTTGGGAAAAGCTTAATCTAGTCTGGTTTCTGGAAGCACGGGTACCTGCAGGATGTGGTAAAAAAATACTCAAGACGGCAATGGTGATAGTGTGATCAAAGTTCCACCTGTTTTTTATTTGTGATGCATAAAAACATTGTAGCTGGACACCCCTGTCTGGAACTATCCAGAGACTCTACCAAATGTGCTGGAAATATGTCTGCATTCAAAGTGTATATTAAACCAATGAGTCACATTTCCTACCTCCAAAAGGTTGTTATGTCCACAATAATTGCAAATGGTGGGTTAAGGTATGAAAAAGATTGGCTCAAGGTCACCTAATGGGTTTCATAGCTGACCAGAAATCTGATCTTTGGACACTCTGGTTCATAAAAACCTGTTTGGCCAATCAGATGCATAACTAAGTAGCTATGAATCTCTAAGGAATCACTTTTCCATCTGGATTTGCAGGTTCCTGAGTCTTAGATGGTTTGCAGTTGGGTGCTGCTTCAAGAAACACTGCTCCTTTGGCTGAATCCAATGTTCTCTGCCATGCTGGCATTTCAAGTCTCCGGGCAGACAGGTTTTAAGTCAGTTCCTTCTACAAGCAGGCAGACTTGAATGTTTGCAAAATAGGATTGAACATCTGAAATGCATAATTGCTTTCAGGAAAGAACTCCCCTTGTGTCTGTATATATGTATGTGTGTGCACGCGCGTGCACACCCACCCTCCCCACACACTTGGTAACATATAGCCCTGGGAATTACAGCATAGCCATAATGACCCCAGAGACCCTTCGAAGCGTGTGAGTCTAAACAGAACCATTGATTGATGGTTTTTTGCCAGAACACAGCTCAGACAGAAATGAACATGTCAGCAAGGCTGACCTCCTTACCAGTGCATAATGTTCACAACAGAGGGCTATCAGTGTTAAAAAATGTCTTGCATGCACAGTTCTCAACAACTCTTAACCCCAGCAAATAAAAAAACAATTTAAACAGGAACACTCCAACAGATTTTGCTTTGGAGAGACGATTCTCTTGCTTTTCTTTCTGCCAAGTATATTTATTTTCGTTCCCTCCCTTGATTCCATGGGATAATGATTTTTTGGGGAAAAATGTTTAGCATTGCACCCAACACAGTGCACTCCCGCAATTTCATGGGAATTTAGGAAAATTCCAGAATGCAGGAGGGGAAGCAGTTTCCTGAGCACATCAGCTTTCATTTTTGGAAAGCAAGTTTCTAGCCCTTATGACTGGGAGGACGGGTTGCAAATCAATGTCGGCCCAATTTCCAGAGAAATGGATGAATAAGTTTTTTAGTGATTGAAAATAAGGCTTCTGCATGATAAGGAAAAATAAAGTACATTGTGAAATTTGCATAATCCATTCAGGTTGCAGAATTCATTCTTTCTTAGGGCAGTTGTCCCAACATCCTTCTTTCTTC